TTCGAGGTCCCTTCCAACTCCCAATATTCTGGGATTCTGTTAGTGCAGGGACACACAAGTCCTGCCATGAAGGGACAAGATGGCACGCTGCAATGGAGGGGACTTTCTGGTGTCCTAAAAAGGTGGCAAGAACTATCTCACTGCAGCTTCTGCCCCAGCCTAGAGGGGTGGTGCCTGAAGACAGAGAATGCAGGAGGCTGTTTTGAGAGGAGGCTGGGCATTGAGCCTGGGGACAGGCAATAACGTGAACGTGGTGTAGGGTGCACAGGATATGCAGTGTGTGAAGGAAGACATGGGGCAGCAGTTGGCAGTGGACAGGAGTGATGTGGGTGAATGGGAAGCTTGAGGGCCACAGGGATGGGGACTGGCAGGTAGGGCTGTGGGGCAGGCGAATGGGGTGACAAGCGTGGGGGCACTGAGGAAAGGGGAATAAACACACACTTTTTACAGAAGGCGCATATCTTCTTGCCAGGTGGTTTTTTAGAGAAGGTGGTGAGGCAGGAGCTGGAGCAGAAGAGCTGAGGGAGCCCTTTACGCTGGTAGGCAGTTTGGCCCTTCTGCAGCGGGGTCCTGCAGTTCGCACAAGTCATCTTGGTGACAGTAGAGCGGGCAGCTCGCTGAGCCATCTGGGTGCGTAAAGACATGCGAGTTGAGCGTCGGGTACGAAAAGGAACAAAATCCTCATCATTGGGATCATCCACCATTGCATCGGAGTCTTCGTCAGAGACAGGAACTACAAAGCAGCAGAGGAAGATGCACAGAAATCCCTCATTAGGAACCGAGACAGAAACTTCTGCCGTGAGACACACACTGGGACTTTCTGGGGTCACCTTTCCCTCTACACACTTTATACCTGTCTGGGTGGAATGATATAGGGACCTTTAAAAGATACTCTGTTGGAATTGGAGATGAGTCAGGAGGTCTTCAAGCAAACTGGGCTTCCTCTCTAGGAAGTGATGATTTGCCAAGGTTGAGTAGAAGCCCAAAGTGTGAATATTTACAGCAGAGAACCCTCCAGAAACCGGTAGACCTTAAAGGGAACAAGCTGTAACACCAGCCTCCAGCACAGGCAGGCAATGAAGGTGCAACACACAAACACTAGGGAATGGCAGGGTGACATTCAGAACCTCAAACAAAGGCTTCATGGACTTGTACAGGAAAATCCCCAAAATGCAACCTTCCTTCAGCCAGCCTGCTGCCATAGAGACAAAGGGAGAAAGTTCCTGGCTGAGGAAGTGGAAGATGGATTTCCTGGGAACAACCCCAAAGTCTCATCCAATTACTTGGTGCCTGGTGTCCACATACCACAGTAAAAATATCACATCTCTTCCTTCAACCTAAGTGCCCTGAGAAAGCAAGAGAAGTACCCCAGGATGAAGACTCATGGGGTGAAGGGACCTGTCTTGTGTAAGAGGAAAGTCTGCACAGAATTTCCAGAGTTCCCCCCATACTTACACCATGAACCACCTTCCCATAACAGGCCTCAGCCCTGCTCTCTGGCTGAAAACAGGCACTGGCCAGCCCTAGGTACTCACTGCTCTCAGAGGAGTTCACAGTTTCAAGCCTGGCAGTTTCTGATCTTCTGGCTCGTTCACTTCTTTTCTGCTCCTAGAAGACATTCAGAAAATACTTAGGCTAACCATCTGCTAGGACAACCATGGATAGATATCCCAGATCATGGTGGAGTTCCAACCTCTGAGACTTCAGCTTTCCCAGTAACTAGGCTGGAAATGGATAAAACTCCGCAGATACCTGACCAGAGTTGGCAGGATGGGGGAGATGGAGAAGTAGGGTTATGAGAATGGCATCGCAGCTGGGGGTAGCAGGGACACACTGAAGCCACACTACAGCACAGTGGCACGGGAATCACTCCATCACAGGAGACATGCAAACTCCTTCCCAGAGGAGTGATGAGAGAGCCAGTGTCCCTCAGGGAGTTTGACAACAGCCAGCCACCCTCTGTGGTCCTGTAGCATATGCACTTGACTGCATTCTCCTTACCTTCTCAGTTGGCAGCTCACTTCCCTTCCCGGACAGGCCTTCTCCTGGAACAGAAGCACAGAAGAAGCTGGAATCTAACATCTTGCTTTTCTCCAATGGAAGAAGACAGGAGTTCTTCAAATGCAGCCACCCTTTGGGTCAGTCTGCACGTGAAGCCTCAGACAGTCCTGGCTGACAAGCACAGCTCTGGTGGTGATCAGACACCAGCTCCTAAACCCACCACCTAGAGATCCAAACACGCAGCCTGGGAGAAGTCCTGCCCTGTGTGAGGGAAGCTCCTAGCTGACACAAGCATTGAAAATCAAACTTAAAGCTACGAAAGCCAGAGCAAGAGCTTATGTGCACCAAGGGAGCAGCTTCCAGAGCATTATTCTCCGTGAGCAAGACGCTTTCCCTAAAGTTACCCCACCAGTAGCATTGACAATTTCCATAACAGGGGATGATGCAAATGGCTGGAGCACAAATCAGCCAAGTTCCACAGAGATAACAACCTTACCTGCTGGTAGTGAGGCTTCCTGTGCTTTCAGTGCACTACTTTCTTTAAGCGAGTTGTTCTCACTGCCATCCTCTACCTCTGCCTGGTTTTCCTCCGTGGGCTCAGGGGGGAAAGCTGCAGTGCTGTTGTCTGGGCTCAGCTCCATCTCTGCTTCCCCTGCCAACCCTTCCCTCTGCATGGGTGAGCTTTTCCTTGGTGCCTTCAACCTCGTCTTCTTTGTCTGTTTAAGACTGAGTTGTGGGGGGGGCATTGTGGGACTTGAGGATTGTGCTGTGATTTCTTTTGTGGCTGGGGCACTGCTGAGGTCGCCAGAGTTAGGAACGGGCTGTTGGGGAGATTCAGGGGCTTTATCATCAGACAATGCAAGAATAGCAGCAGCACCATCTTCCTTTAGGTCCCCAGAATCATTTTTTGGTGCATCTTCCCCTTCTTTCCATGTTTCTGGAACAAGGGCTTCTCTAGAGAGGGCAGAGGAGTCTGCCGGTCCATCATCCCCACCCTGGGAAGGATGTGGCTTATACAGCCCACCCAGACCCTCCGGTTTATCTAGCTCCATCAAGTCAGCAGGTTTATCCAAGTCATCCGAGACATCAGGTTTCTCCAGCATACCCAAGACACCAGGTTTATCTAGAACAAGGTCATTTGGTTTGCTTAGTTCAGACTGGCTGTTTGTTTTCACAAGAAGGTCCAAGTCCCCATCTGCAGTCATCTGCTTGGATTGATCCCAGTCAGATGGCTGAAGAACTGAAACTTCCTGCGTAGAAGCTGTCTGGGAACCCAGGAGATCTTCTCCAAACTCCATGTCAGCAGGGAGATCACCAATAAGCGGTTTTTCAGGCAGGGACAGAGGGTCCAAAGATCCTGAAAATTCACTGGAATCCATTTAGAAGATGGCAACTGAAAATGAAAGAGAGACTTGCAAGTTAATGAAAAGCAGTCTAGCACAGTGCATGAACTGTCCACTCTTCTGAACACTGCTGGAGCAAAACAAGGCCCAGTAACACTGCCAGCCATAACCAGGATACCAGCAGGTCAATCACGTCTACTCGTGGGGTTACAAAACTCTAAAGCCAACCAGCAGCAGTGGTGTGGCAGGCGTTTGGGAACTCTACAGCCCGACACAGCTCATCGTAGCACGGCAAACAGATCAGCTTACGCCAAATGACACAGTAGAGCACCAGAAATTACTTGAGTCCCAATTCAGGAGGCATCACCCAGCTGCTCTGTGGAGTGTGGTATTGCCCTCCCTGCCTTCCTCTCGATCTCACCAGACCCAGATGATCTGGTCTGTCCTTTCTCCTGATCTGTTCTCACAGAGTTAACACATCTTTTATTTTTAAAATATATTTTCACTTAAAGTTAGAGGCAGAAAGAACTCCTTTACAGCTCTGTAGCCCGTGCCTGAACAAGACACAGGATGACAAGATGGATTTGTCAGAGGACAGACACAACCCATGTTACCGCATACCTACAGCTACAGCATAGCCTCAAAACTGTGTGGGCCAATATTCAGACACAGAGCAATTGGCATAGCTTAAGTTAGATCCAGGAGGGATTCTGGAGAGTGCAAGAAGAAAGGCAGTAAAGTCAATGATGTTAAAAGCAGTCACAAGAGGAAGAACAAGTAGCAAAGTAGACAAGAGCAGGCAACGCAGAGTCAGGAAAAAAGACCAGCATGACTTTGCAGGGCACAGCCAGTGCCTTTGCACAGGAAGATGTGATGCTGACTGCCAACATCAGGGGGACCTGATGACCGGAGAAGACCGGAGAAGAGAAGGCTGAGGGGAGACCTCATCACCACCTACAACTGCCTCAAGGGAGCTTGTAGAGAGGTGGGTGCTGGTCTCTTCTCCCAGGTGATGGGGGATAGAACAAGGGGAAACGGCACCAAGATGTGTCAAGGGAGGTTCAGGTCAGAGATAAGGAGGAAGTTCTTTACTGAGAGGGTCGTCAGAAGCTGGAACAGGCTGCCCAGGGAGGTGGTGGAGTCACCAACCCTGGATGTGTTTAAGGAGCGGGTGGATGAGGTACTTAAGGATATGGTTTAGTGGGTAGACAGGAACGGTTGGACGTGATGATCTCAGAGGGCTTTTCCAACCGAGCGATTCTGTGATTCTGTGACCACATTATAGCTCAGCTCCTCACGGCCGGCAATGCCATAAGACAGGAATGGCAAGACTTTGAGATGAGACAAGTAAGCGTTTATATTAATAGTGGCTGAAAATGAATTATATTCCCACAAAGAGATAATGGTTGACAAACCTGAAGAGGGAAAGGGAGAAGGAGCTAGAGCCTATAAGCAGTGAGGCAGAGTGAGACTTGAAGTAGCATCACATCCCCGAAACAGGCTGTAAGTAGACACTGTAAGGCAGGCACTGGAATCAAAAGATGTGGTGCCAACCTAACCCCTCCCAACACCCCCATGAGAGTAATTCCAATTCTAAATTTGGCACTATTTTAAGCCCTAAAGGGGGAGATTCAATATTCCTGTCTATTGGGGCTTACTATGGGCATAACTCATCTATATCAATGAAGGAGGAAGCCTGAAATAATTTCACTGGTGATGGCGAATTAATTCCATCTTTATACCCTTCCATCTGAAAGGATAACCACCAAATGGTTTACTCAGAACTCAACAGGATGTATCTGGACAAAGAATGTACCCGACATATACAAACTCATTTAAGCTGGAGTTTAGGGGATCATACTCTACAGCTGGGTTTAAAAGTCACCGGCTCCTTATTTTATCTAAAAAACAAAGCAACATTTTCTGTTCCACAGTGGCAGATAAGCACTGTTCCCACAGTCACAAACAGAAACTACAGACGGTGAAATCTCCAGAGATGCTCACAAAGTTCCGCCCCTAAAAACTTTGGTGATTCTGTTCACTTTCTTTAGTTACAGAGGACACAAATTTCTACAAGGAGCCAGTTCCAGAGCGACACAGGATCTAATATGTGCTTTAGGGTGGCTGACAGAAAGAAGAACAAAGTGAAACAGAAGAAAAGTCCCAAGGATTTTAAGCAGGAGACAACCCTCCCAAGATGATAAACACATTTTTTCTGCTGCTCGGAGTACAAACAATGCCTCCTTCTCAAAGATGAGCCCCGTGCAGATTTCCAGACACGCAGCAGACCTTACAAGAAGCAGCAGAAAAATCAAGACGCTCGGATGAATAAGAAAGTTAATTTACAGGCATACATGACAGGACTAACATAGTCCTCAAACACCTTCAGACCACACCACAGAGGTGACACTTTCAGCTGGCCCAGGCTTTGCTCGGTAGAAACAGACCCTGGGAACAGTTCTGGAGCCTAAAAAATCCATTTGGGATAATGCAAGCAACAGTTAATCTATGAATTTACAATGCTACTCCTGCTCTACAAATGGACCAGAAAGCATCTCGTCTCAACAGTGTGCACCTTAACACTGCCTTCCAGCTTTGGGCACGAGAGCATTACGATGCAAGACAAGACTCTGACAAAATTAATGGTGACAACGCTGACTAACAAAGTGATCTTAAAGAGAACAAATATTACAGAATCACAGAACGTCAGGGATTGGAAGGGACCTCCAAAGCTCATCCAGTCCAATCCCCCTGCCGGAGCAGGAACACCCAGATGAGGTTGCACAGGAAGGCGTCCAGGCGGGTTTTGAATGTCTGCAGAGAAGGAGACTCCACAACCTCTCTGGGCAGCCTGGGCCAGGGCTCTGCCACCCTCACTGAGAAGAAGTTTCTTCTCAAATTGAAGTGGAACCTCCTGTGTTCCAGTTTGTGTCCGTTACCCCTTGTCTTATCATTGTTTGTCACCGAGAAGAGCCTGGCTCCATCCTCGTGACACTCACCCTTTAAATATTTATAACCATGAATGAGGTCTCCCCTCAGTCTCCTCTTCTGCAAACTAAAGAGCCCCAGCTCCCTCAGCCGCTCCTCATCAGGGAGATGCTCCACTCCCTCCATCATCTTTGTAGCCCTACGCTGGACTCTCTCCAGCAGTTCCTGTCCTTCTTGAACTGAGGGGCCCAGAACTGGACGCAATATTCCAGATGAAATTCTGCAGTTTAAGTCAACTCCAAACTGTTGGTATGTGGTTGGGACAGCTATGCAGACCCAAGAGCCTGCATTAGGACCTGGTTGGAAGCACAGCGCTCGCCCCGTGCGCTCACGCTCCTGTCCAATTTCATCAGCTCTGTCCAAATCCCCCCCCAGCAGAACAGCTCACATGTTCTGGCCAACAACCCAAAGCTGCTTCTTAGGATGTGCAAAGCTAAGGACTGCTGCGGTCAGTCGAGCAAAAGGACCATGTATTCAGCTATCCTGCTCCTACTCGCATCAAGAATGTGAACATCTCTGCAGAGAGAGCATATGAAACACAGCCAACAGGGTGCTCCTCTGCAGCACATCCTCCAATCCAGCAGCAATCAGCTGCGGAGGAACTGCTTGGCTTGAGCTGCACCCACCATCACTGGTAAGAGTCTGTACTGGGCAAATCCTCTATGAATCTGCTTAATCTCCCTTTGAACCAATTTATACTTCAGGCCTCTGAAAATTCCAGTGGCAATACTTTCTGCAGCCTCACATTTAGTTTTTAAAAGTATTTTCCTTTTGTTTATTTTAAACCTGCTGCAGCTGAGCCCTGTGATGAGGCAATACAGAGCAGCTGAGCACCGACTTTTGATGTATTTCTAAGAACCTAGAGAAGCTGATGGAGCTCAAGTTGAGGCTGGATCCAGGGAGGTGATGCTGGGAAACAGCTGGAGTGGGAAAGCAAGGAATGTCCCTGCCCATCCCTGCAACTTTGTTTGCCTGACAATGAAGTTTTTACTGTGGCTTTCAACTGCCAGCTGATGAGGATGAACAGGGCAGCCCTCAGAAGAGGGGAGAGCGGTGCTTTCCAGCTTCCTGGGTTACCCCGAAGGCAAACTCAACCTGAGGAAATGAGAGCCATCCAGCTGCAGCAGGGTAAGAAACGTTGCTGCTTCTGTTTGCCCCTAGCACTCAGATTCATGTGGGCTTTCTGCTGAGCTTCACAGTGACTTAAGCTGCCAACCTGTCATGGTTTAGGGCTGGGCTGGCCACTAAATCCTGGACAGACGCTCTCTATTAACCCCTCTGCCTTCTTCTCTTCTGGGGAGAAAAGAGAATAAGGGAGAGAGACTTTACAGGTTGGAAAAGAAAACTAACAGGTTTAATAAAACGTTAATACTAATATTACAGGATAATAATGTAAATAGGAAAATAATGAAATATATACAGATATGTACAAATATCTACAAAACCAATATAAAATCCTTCTCCACCCTCCCCCAATGACGAATACATCACCAGAGGCTCTGCGGAGCAGGGCACTGGAAAAGTCCCAGATCAGACTCAGCAGCAGTGGGAGCTGATGCAGGACACACAGATCAGGATCAGAGGCAGATGAACCAGCAGGGTCTGCTCAGACCTCGGTCATTGCAGGATCGAGACGGACGGAAGGGTTTGAGATGGAAGAGCTCCAAGATGGAAGAAGGGTTGAGACCCTCGTGATCCCTCGGCTTTATACCGAGTATGACGTGTGTGGGATGCAATACCTCGTTGGTCAGTTTTGGGTCTGCTTCCCCCATCATAGGCACAGCCACGGCACCCATGGTGAGACAACTGACCTTGAGATTGTCAGTACACACTGTCTGGGAAAAACATGCTGCCAGTTTTCAGCAAGTTCAGCCACTTAAAAGAGACTGAGCTGAGAAGTGAAATCACTCAATAGAAAATTAGCTCTGTTTAGCTCAGACCAGGACACAACTGAACGTGCACTTTACCTCTGGTAAAGTCTCTTCTCCCTTTCTCCAACAGAAGAAAAACAGCTTATTGTTTCTGGCAGATGCTGAAACAATCCACCA